AGTAAAATCTTAAAAAAATCTTCGTTTAAAAAGCCTAATGAGCTAGAGCTTAGATGTTTAACATGAAACATCTTCTTATGGGTGGGGGGGGGGGGGGCTATATACAGGTGAGCGACCTCAGGGCCATCATGGCCCTCTTGTTTGTTATATATCAAAAATATTATTTTTAACTAAAAATATTTGTTTACCACTTTTATGGTATCTTTCGTAACTTAATCCTAAGGTCAAAGGTTATAGAATAATGACAGCAAAGAACCAGTTTGAAAACCCTTGAATCTGATTGGTTAAGGATATATATTTGAAACTGACCAATAATAATGTACTAGCTTATTTCAGACTGGTTTTAAAGTGTTTATTTTATATTTTAAAGCTTTAATTGCTTATCTATTAACCCTTAATCTACTGGAACTGAAAGTGCTATTACCCCAGTATAAAGCCAGGCCATTCTGCACATATGTGAAGTCTGATCAAGTTATACACTGTTGACTGACTCAGACTTTAAATTTTTCATCTTTGTATCCCAAAATATTGAAAATGGACAGTTTCATAATTGGAAGCTTGACAAGTCCATTTCAAGAATTTAGCAAAATTAAGGGTTAATATTGATTGTGTTATGTTTTCATTAGTGTCATGTTTCATTATTATCATATCACCATGACTATTGTATTATAATATCATTCTTACCTCATATTGTAGTATAAGAAAAAGGTGAGTTCATTCTCATAATCATATCAACCAAGAAATGTATGTAAAGTTTATCCCCCCCCAAAAACCCAGTGTAATTGTTTGAAAATAAGCATCTATACTTTCTGACATTTTGTGAATATAAAAAACAAAAAGATATATATTCTTATAAAGAGTCAAAAACCTAAAAAAAAATTGATTTGGGTTATAAAGATTTAAGAATCATTCTGTTACAACAGTTTAACGTTAAGTTGTTTATGGTTTAAGTATGTGGTTTAAATTTGATGTTAATTATCAGTTCCTGCAATATGATTATTGCTTCACAGGCATCTTTAAACTAGCCTATAATTTTTGTTTTCTTTATAAGGTTGAAGTCCAACAGAACGTCTAGATGCTTGTTTTAGTGTGTACTTTTTCTTATAAAGGTCTAAAAGTTTTTTTGTATCCTATAATTGAAAAAGGAAATTTGTCACAGGAACTCAGACCAGATTTTTAGGACAGAAACCAAAATTCTAGAAATAATGCCAAGTCTGCTGATATTAAACACTTATCAATTTGTAACCTTGATTGGGAAAAAGTTCTTTGTATCATTTAAAACCTTAAAGAAGCTAATTTATTATTAACTGAGGTCAAAAATGCTGAAAACATAAAATTTGCAGTTTTTACATATACCTCAAGAGAAACTCTTAAAGTGGTAAAATATGTAAAGGATAAAAAAAAAAGAATTATACTCAGATCAATAACTAGTACTTAATCTTAAATTAGCCCAATTTGAGTGAAAAGCATTGCAACACTTAATTTAATTTTGGGTCATTTTGCTGTATAAAAATTATTATTCTGGTAAAATGGACTGAGGGTAGAAAATAAATTTCCTTTTTCACTTGTTAATACAAAAAACAGATTTGAAATCTGAGTTTTATATTTATATACATGTATGTGTCTATAATTTAATCTTTAATCTAAAGCCAATTTTTAAAAACATTTCTGTAAAAACTGGCATGTCTGAAAGTGATTTTCTAGAAAAAAATGTCTGATTATTGTACTTGAAGAAGTTTTGTTTTTCCTTTGATTTTTGTGTCGCCTTGAAAAGGTGACATATAGGGGTTACTTTTGTCGGCGGTGTCGGCGGCGGCGTCTGTGTCGGCGTCGTTGTCGGCGTCGGCGTCCCCTAAAGCTTGTCCAGAGCCTAACTCAGTCACTATAAGTCTAATTGACTTCAAACTTGGTATGCATGCTTCTTTCAATAACCCGAAGTGCAGTGCACAAGGACCGGTACTCTGCAGTTCTTATTTTTTGAGTTATTGCCCTTTGTTAATTTTCATACTTTAATTTTGTCCGGGCCATTTCTCTTCACCTAAAAAAGCTATCGACCTGAAACTTCGTAGGATGATAGATCTCATTAAGAAGAAATGCAGTGCACAAGAACCAGTACTCTGCACTTCTTAATTTTTGAGTTATTGCCCTTTGTTAATTTTCATACTTTATTTTTGTCCGGGCCATTTCTCCTAATGTATAAAAGCCATGGACTTGAAACTTCATATGATGATAGGTCTCATTAAGAAGAAGTGCAGTGCACATGAACTGATACTCTGCATTTCTTATTTTTTTAGTTATTGCCCTTTGTTTATTTTCATACTTTAATTTTGTCCGGGCCATTTCTCCTTAAGTATAAAAGCTATGGACTTGAAACTTCATAGAATGATAGATCTCATTATTAAGAAGTGCAGTGCACAAGCATCGGTACTCTGCATTTCTTAAATTATGAGTTATGACTCTTTGTTAATTTTCATACTTAATTTTTGTCCAGGCCATTTCTCCGAAAGTATAAAAGTTATGGACTTGAAACTTCGTAGGATGATAGATCTCATTAAAAAGAAGTGCAGTGCATAAGAACTGATACTCTGCATTTCTTATTTTTGAGTTATTGCCCTTTTTATTTTTGAGTTATTGCCCTTTGTTTATTTTCTTACTTTATTTTTGTCCTGGTCATTTCTCCTCAAGTATGAAAGCTATGGACTTGAAACATCATAGAATGATAGATCTTATTGATAAGAAGTGCAGTGTACAGAAACTGCTGCTCTGCACTTATTATTTTTTTAGTTATTGCCCTTTGTTATTTTTCATATTTCATTTTTGTCCTGGCCATTTCCCCTAAACTACATTGTTCACAAGGCGACACATCCGACTCGCGGAGTTCTAGTTTATTAATATTATTATTTTGTAAAGTTTTACACATTGCATTTGGTGTGTGCCTTGAACACAACTGTCCTAATCATCTAAATTTTTGGACACTACTTTTATTATTGTCATAAAAATACTTAGATAGGATCTTAATAGTTTCAAATTACAAAGAACAATACATATAACATGAAAATATAACAGAAAAAAAAAAGCGTTTTTATGGCATGATGTATTAAAATTAGACTGTCAGTTTTACAGAAATGTTCTTAAAGTGTATCATTCTTTAATTGGTTTAAAACAAGGTTCATTCACAGTGTGTTTTAATCAGGTAGAAGAAACAAGTTAGAAGGTTTTATCTTAATGTTTTATTATTCTAAAATGGAATTTTATAGCATATGGAAAAGGTAACCAGCTAATTCTAAAAGAAATAATTTTGTTTAAGCGTTGTTTTTTTCTTACATGTAATAATTACACTAATAATTTGAACATGTGTACAAGCTTTTAATATGCATAACAAAAGTTGGCTTAAATGTTGTTTTTGAATTTTTTTTGTCCATTTATTTCTTGTTAAGTTTGAAAAAAAGAGAAAGATATTTCCTGCTTTTAAATTTGTTGATGCTATTTTTGGAAGGGAATTCTTTTATATATATCAAAATTTAAAATATTTACAAAATTATTTAATATATCTTTTTTTAATTCCATCTGGTCTTGATCTTGGAAAATATAATTATTTTGTTCAAAAGATTTTATTAAAGTTTTTGCACTGCTTTAACATGTCAAAATAAAAACAGCCTATCAATTATAATTGTGTGCTCATATAAAAGACAAGCATATGGCATATACTGTGTGCAGTGATGATGTTTACATACCTTATTTGCCATGCAAATAACCATATCAATATATTTCATGCCCTACCATTATAATGTCATAAATGTTCGCATTAATTCAAACCATAAAACTGTTTTTAATTAAATCTCTCCATATGAGTATTTGTGAAACTTTGTATGGTAAATCTATATTTTTTCATTGTATATAAATAGAAAACTAACAGCAAATTGTCAATATGATTAGTTTACTATGAAACAAAGTAGGGGAATTGAAAATCTTAAGTCTTAAGATTTTAGAATTTGAATTGTTGTCATGTTGCTTTTTTCTTAATGTCAACATTACCTAGGTCAACTAAGGTATATTCTGTACCAGTTTTTATCCATTTCACTGAAGGTCTAGGTTTTTAGTATACAAAATGTAAATGCCTACAGCATGAAACCAGGTATACATGCACATCCTTGCTGTCTAACCAGAAATGTTTGATAGAATTTAGTACTTTGATACCCTGGCATCTCTTAATTAAGAATATACATATTTGTTCCACATTCAAAGATAGGTATAAATCTATGTTATAAATAAAGCAAGTTAATTATAAGTTAACTAGTGGTATAATACACAGCACAATCAGTAACTTAGTCATGGTTATTCTTGACCTTTAACTTAGTCGTAAATATATATGTATTCACCTTCATATACAATTAGATGAGAAATGGTTGCCCTGAAAAGGATGATTATAATATTATACATGTATTAGTTGTTTTAAACTAAATTGTTTAAGCCCAATTGTTTAAACTCAATTTTCCTGAGAAATTTTTAAATTTAGTATACATATTAAATAGGCACATGTAATGTAGATTTCTTTATATGATTGAAATATTTTTTAGTGTTTTGTTTTTCATATATCATACTTGTATCATCATATGTTACCGACCAGTCTAAATATACTTTTTCTTTCACAACAAACTGAATGTGCCCAGTAAAGTTACAGTTGAGTTCACTCTTAACTACAGCAAAATCCAAGAGTCAATTTTCAAAAGCTATATAATTTTAAATGTGGTTCTGGCCGTGTTAGGACTGGTCTGTAACATAAATTTCAGTCACCTCAGTGTTAGAGGGCTTGTTTTTTCGTAAAAGTCATAAGAAATTTAAATAGTTAATTATGAATTGTTTACAAAAAAAATAATATGGCTAGTTTAGCAAATCTTTTCTTTTACTGTTTAAGATCTTTCCTAAAGATGTTTGTAACTCACTTAGAATTATAACATTTGAAACTTGTGTAAAAAAATAATATTTCTTATGTTTAACAGATTGACCAACAAAAGTTGGAGCTTGAGAAGGTAGATCATGCGATGGGCAAGAAACGTACAGAGTTACAGTTCCTGACGGACAGTTTAGAACGTAAACAAGGGGAGATAAATCAGTTGATACGGGATACAGAATCTGAACTCTCCAGTAACAAGAGGGAAATAAAAGTAATTATGATGTTTTTATATTTCAAAATTAATGAAGCTTATTAAAGCAAATCATGTTTCGATAAACTGTGTTGGTTTGTGATCTTTTTATCAAAATTTCAAAATGAAATACTGGTTTTCATCAGAGAAATTTATATGCTAAAGGTCACTGTGAAAACACATGATAGAGATCTTACAATTATAGGTGAAATCTGCTGTTATATGTACAGATTATAATTTTGATTTTAAAGAGCAATCCTGACTTATCACTGATGTATGATAATTTTTGACTTTCTACTAGGTACAGTTGACTCCACTTATAACAAACTCGCTTATAACAAATTATCGTTAATAGCGAACTAAATCTGACATCCCCGGCCAATTCCTTCTTAATTTTATATTAAATCACATCGCTTAATACATACTCGCTTATAACGAATTTTCGGCTATAACGAAGCATTTTGTCAAGACCCAAATGACCGGGAACATTTGAATTTCCTCGGTTATAACAAACTGTTATAATTGAAATATCAGGATGCGCTCGATAATGATCAGTTCATGAATTACGCTATCCGATAATTATACAATCGAATGATTGCACAGGTATTAAGTTATGGCTTCATGGAATAAAGACTTTGATAAAATGTTCTCACAACATAATTTCCTACTTGTTACCAAAAATTTGTATTTTGCACCCGCAGTTGATTGCTGTAAATACCCGATAATTACCAAATATATGATTTTTTTTTTGCAATATTAACCAAATGATAATAAACAAATAGCAACAGAATACAAATGGTAAGCACTTTATAGACAAGTACTACATGAATAAATACGTATACCATGTACATAATATATTGTTCAATAAAATGCCCTGCATTAAATAACCGCTGCAGTAAAATGTTCCCTCATCCAAGCTTTAGTGCAGGATGAGGGTCATTATTGGAATAAAGCCGGAGGCCGAGCATGTATACATAGCATTCCTTCCTGGACGTATCGATTAAATCGCACTTTAAAAAAGAATCAAATCTCCCGCGTAATGAGGTATTCCCCATCGCACATGCGCAGTACACCATACAATACCGGAAGTAAACCCCGGAAATTTCATATCTTTAACATGTTTTTGTTGCAAAGAAGAAATATGGGCAGGGTACATAACAATACATAAAATAGTGGGCGGGTAGTATACATGCTCGGCCTCCGGCTTTATTCCAATAATGACCCTCATCCTGCACTAAAGCTTGGATGAGGGAACATTATTTTCATAAAGCCTTCGGCTTTCGCATGTATACATAGCATCTTTAAAGGCAACAAAAACTAAATTTGTGGCAACATAAAACTGAAACTGACAAAAGTAAAGTTCATACTAAAGAAAATCATTTTTAATTCCCAATACAAATTGTAAACAACAATCTATATAGTAAGAAAATTAACCCAAACACTTTGAATACAGCAAGTAGAGTATATACACAACACAGGACTCTCATAGTACACAATCATCAACATGTCACTTGAATTATATAGTCTAGTAAATAAATTGTAATACTGGTCGATAAACTCAACTGTTAAAAACAGCCTGCGTATAAGTCAAATTACTATTACTAGAAGACTGTCTGTAATAAAATTTCTTAAAGTTTTTGTCTGACTTCCAGTCCGCAGTTTCTAAGATAGACTTCAAAGAACAACCACTGCTGAAGGCTGCTGATGTAGATACACCTCTAAAAGAATGAGCTTTATAAATATCCGTATTGATACCGGAGAGTTCTAAAACTGTCTTCAACCATCTGGCTATAGTACTGCTAGTTACTTTATCAAAAGTTTGAAAAGAAATAAATAAAGACCTAGATAATCTACAATTCTCAGTTGCCTTAAGATAAGCTAAAAGAGTATGCATAGCACATAAACTTTCCTGAGAAAAGTGTTCAATACGTAGTGAAAAAGAATGACCAATTTTAGAAGTCTTAAGTAAATGTGGAAACAAAAACACAATATCTTTCTCTTGAATTAACATATTATCCAAATTCATAGCTGTTAAAGTCTGAGCTCTAGGAGCTGTTGCTAACGAAATCAAAGCAACCACCTTAAAAGTCAACATTTTAAGAGTTAATTTGTTCAAAGGCATAAGAGTTTTCAAAAACTTCAAAACAATTGTCACATCCCAAAACACTAAATATCTAGGCCGCGGAGGTTTGAAGTTAAACACACTTTTCATGAAGCGAGGAATTAACTCACACGATTTGCACCAACGGTTCCCAAAAAACGGCAAAGTCTGCAAAAGCATAGACTTATGACTATTAATTACCGAATAGGATCTTCCTAATTTAAATAAATAAAACAGATACATTACAATTTCATCTTCAGTTGTATTAAGGGGATTTGACAACCTGACACAGTTCCAAGATGACCATATTTTCCAGGCGCTTTGATACTGCTTCTGAGTTCCTCTTGCCCATGATGATAAAATGAAGTCGGCAAGGTCTGACGAAAAACCTCGACTTTGGAGCGATTTCCCGATATGATGGCTGCGACCAAATTTAAACGCTTCCCCAATGGGTGTTGTTCTAGACTGTGTGGCAGTACGAGCAAATCCCTGTGTCGTGGTAACCTTGAGGGAATAGAACAAATACATTCTAAAATAATAGGAAACCATGGTTGAGATGGCCATAAAGGAAATACTATTAGAGCCTTATCAACTTCATGCAGTCTTACTTTATTAATAACTTTTGTTATCATATTAAATGGAGGAAACAAATATGGACAAAGTCCAGACCATGACATATTAAACGCATTTACAGAATAGGCTCCTGGCTCTGGAAACCATGTTACAAACTTGTCTAATTTTGTATTTAAACGCGACGCAAACAAATCTATATCAGGTAAAAAATATTGTTTACAAATTCTGTCAAAAACACTTTGTTTCAACATCCATTCCGAAGAATTAGAGAAATTTCTAGAATAAAAATCTGCAGTATTTTCTTTTCCTGCAATATGACTGGCAGACAAACAAATATTCCTTTGAATGCACCAAAACCAAATATTTTTAGCTAAAGAATCCATAGGTATTGAATGCATACCACCAAACTCATTTACATAGGAAACTGCAGTAGTATTATCACACTGTACTTCAATATGTTTATTGGAACAGTTAGTGTAAAGAGCCTTTAAAACATAAAAAATTGCCAATAATTCTAAATAATTGATATTGTTGTTCGACTCCTCGAAGGTCCATCTGCCATTTGTATGCATTTGAGACTCTAGGTCTATCCCCCCAAAACCAGATAAGCTCGCGTCCGTTCTACATTTGATATCCACAGGTTGTGGTCTTATAAACTTCCCATTTTTAATAACAGTATTTTGTAACCACCATTGTAACTCCTCTAAAGAGGTTGTAGATAAATTCATGGTCTGGTCAAAATCCATAGTGTTGCCAAGAGCAAAAATTTTATCTCTCTCTAAATCACGATAATGTAATTTAGCCTCAAAAACAGCAAAAAAGGCATTGATAACAAGACCAATAAAAGATGCTAATTCTCTTATAAAAACATTCTTCTTTGAAATAAGAAACTTGGCTTTAGAAATAATTTTTTGTACTTTTTCATCAGGTAAATAGACCTTAAATTCAACGGAATCAATAATAAAACCAAAAAATATTATCCTTTGAGAAGGTACAAGACTGGATTTGTCTTGATTGACAACAAAACCTAATGATTCTAAAGTTTGAACTAAAGTCATTGAATTTTTTGAACAGATAATCTTATCTTGACTCATATTCAATGAATCATCAATGTAGTAACTGCATCGAATATCTTGTTTTCTTAACCAAGCATAGACTGGTTTTAATATTTTTGTAAACAAATAAGGCGCAATGGAAAGCCCAAAAGGTAAACATGAAAATTCATACAAGTTTCCATTCCATTGAAACTTTAAATATTTTCTATAATGTTCATGTATAGGAACAGAAAAGTATGCCTCAGACAAATCAACTTTTGTAAAGTAATCATTTCTCTGTATCAGATCTAAAACAATATTAAATGTTTCTTGTTTGAAATGATTATAACATACAAATTCATTGAGATATCTAAGATTAATGACTGGCCTAAATTTACCATTAGGCTTAGCAACAATGAATAAAGTAGAGATAAACTCGTTACACTGGTGAGAAGATTGCAAAACGGCACCTTTTTTAATAAGAGATTCAACTTCATCATTAACAATTTTCCACTGTTCACCTTCAAAAGGAATTTCTTTAGGTATTTTATTCTGAAAAGGTTTCTTTACAAAATCAATTTTATAACCAGAAACTACTCCTAGAATCCAAGGATCATTTGTGTATTTTTTCCATTGGTCTAAATGTAATTTTATTTTTCCAACTGAACTTACCTTATTTAAGCCTGATCGTTTGGGGCTGTAGCAGTTGCAGTAGGTACAGATCTCCTAAAAGGTCTGGATCTTGGCATATTCCTATTATACTGACCTCTTGACTGGTAAGGCTGAGTTCTAGAGATGAACCTAGATGAATAGCTTTTCCTAGGAAAACGACCTCTGCCTCTAAAATTGCTCCCATATAATCCATATAAAGGACTTTGTTGACTGAAGGTATTCCCTAAGGACAATGTACTCTCACAATTCTTTACCTCTTTACTTATGTCATCCCCAAAAAGTTTAGTTGTAACAGGCATTGAGGTTTGACAAAGACTAGCATACTTCTTTTTAAGCAATGGCCGAATAGAATATCTTCTCCGAAGAGAAAGATTATACTGTATTTGTCCTAGGACAGTAAACAAGTCACACATTACATTCTTAGCGTCTGGAGATATGTTACCCTTAATCAACTCGGCTAATTTAATTACTGTGCCAAAACCGGTAGCCACTAAATTTTGAATGTTAACTAACATCTTATCATTCAAATGAGACTTTTTGTCCAAAATTTTCCAAATTTCTTGATTCACTAAAGGTGGGCTAGCCATTTCGCAGTTCTCAGGCACCTTATACTCATTTGTAAGGGGATCTGTATCGCAAAGAGCTGTACAAGAGGTATTGATCAGCTCAGCCAACTTAGTAGAAACAGCTTTGCCTTTTAAAGGAACCTTCAATTTTGGCATAGCCCAATCAATTTCATCCGAAGATAAAAAATTGTTATTTTGGTCACTTTTAGTCGAACCATCATCAAAAAGAGCCTGAGAAAACCCTCTAGAAAGGGAATCACGACTATGTGTCTGAATAGACTGAACACCAGCATGTTCATAATTACCAGAATCATCTTGTTCAAAAGGGGCATATTCATTGTCAGATACATTATCTGCATCGACCTGAACAGTAATATTAGGCCTAACAGACAAATCTTTTTCGGCAAAATAAACGTCATCATCATTATCAACAGGATTCGAATCCTGTTGTATGCCGAGCAAACTCCTAAGAGATGCAATGTCAGCGGCTGACAACTTCGAAACATCTAATAATGGCCTGTCCGAAGACTTCTCCGAAGAGGTTTGGCCAGCACTCTTATTTACCACATGAACTGTGGACTTTAAGGACTTACCTTTGGGTTTTTTAGACTTCGTTACATTTTTTGACCGCCGAGGAGGTTTAGACGTTTTAGGCATGTCAGACTCAGAAAATCCAGAAAAACCCTCTTCCGAAGAAGACATAGCGGATAAAACATCATCCATTACAAAAACAAATAGCAAGGTATACTTTACCTACCAAAAATTAAAAGGTATAACCAGAAAGTAAGCGTAAAATAACCAACACGTGCGTCACATCGAAACGCCAGAAAAGATATGAAATTTCCGGGGTTTACTTCCGGTATTGTATGGTGTACTGCGCATGTGCGATGGGGAATACCTCATTACGCGGGAGATTTGATTCTTTTTTAAAGTGCGATTTAATCGATACGTCCAGGAAGGAATGCTATGTATACATGCGAAAGCCGAAGGCTTTATGAAAATAATACCGGTCGCACCGATAACCAGTGAAAAGTATGGCTTTTTCACGGCAAATTTCCCCATCCAAACAAGTCAGCAAGTTGATGCTACTTCCTTTTTAGCGAACTTCGGATATAACGAACAATGTTTTAATGTCCCATTGAGTTTGTTATAACCGGAGTCGACTACTAGAAATTCTTACATGTGAGGAAGTCATCTAGCTTATAGCACAATCATGAAACGTGGGTGATTCTACTAAGGTGTTGCTTTTGCTTTAAAAAATGAATGGAAGGTGATTTTAGGTCTTGCCCCTGCCAATAATGCTGGAAAGTCACAATATGACCTTATTTAACAGAAGTCTATTTGAAATGATGAGATAATTTGTGAGATACTATATACAGTAAACTCTGCTTATAACAATAGCAATGTATCACAGAGGCAACCACTTTGAAAATAAGATGTGGGACTATGGCAACTATCATTAACAGTTTTACAGTCTCTCATAATGTGAAATTTATTTAGCTTATTTAATACTTTATTATACATGTAGAAAGTGCTTGTTGTGTCGCCTCTACGGAGTAGTGGCGACATATAGGGATCACTTCTCCGTCGTCCGTCTGTCTGTCTGTCCGTCTGTCCGTCCGTCCGTCACAAAACTTGTCCGGACTACTCCTCATAAACTACTGGTGCAATTTCATCCAAACTTTACAGGAATGATCAGTACCAAGTCTAGTTGTGCATATTGTCAGGATTTTCCGGTTCAATGATTTTTGTCAGAGTTATGGCCCTTTAATAATTTTTAATTTTAAAGTTTGTCCGGACTACTTCTCTTATACCACTAATGCAATTTCAATGAAACTTTACAGGATTGATCTGTAGCTCAAGTCCTTGCGCATATTGCACGGGTTTTCCGGTTGAATGATTTTTGGCCGAGTTATGGCCCTTTGAATAAAAAGGTTTCTTTTTCTGTGTGTTGCCAGATACACAAAAGCTTGTCCGGACTACTCCTCATAAACTACTGGTGCAATTTCATCCAAACTTTACACGAATGATCAGTACCAAGTCTAGTTGTGCATATTGTCAGCATTTTCCGGTTCAATGATTTTTGTTTGAGTTATGGCCCTTTAAAAATTTTTATTTTTTAAAGTTTGTCCAGACTACTTCTCTTATACCACTTATGCAATTTCAATGAAACTTTACAGGATTGATCTGTAGCTCAAGTCCTTGCGCATATTGCACGGGTTTTCCGGTTGAATGATTTTTGGCCGAGTTATGGCCCTTTGATAAAAAGGTGTTTTTTTCTGTGTGTTGCCAGATACGCAAAAGCTTGTCCGGACTACTCCTCATAAACTACTGGTGCAATTTTATCCAAACTTTACAGGAATGATCAGTACAAAGTTGTTAGTCTAGTTGTGCACTGTCCGTCTGTCTGTCCGTCTGTCACAAAATTTGTCCCAACATGAAATTGGCCATCATGAGGCGACACATGTGATTACTGATCGCTCTTGTGTTTTTGTAGGAACAGAGAGATTTGTTACGTAATTTAGAGGTACAGAAATCAGACCTGAGTTCTCAAATTAAGTCAAAGAGAACAGAACTGCAGAAAATCAAAGATGAGATTGATACAGATGATGAAATTTTACAGGTAAATTAGTAATTTTACAGGTAAATTAGTAATTTTACAGGTAAATTAGTAATTTTACAGGTATATCAGTAAATTTTGCATTTTACAGGTAAAAAAGTAATTTTTACAGATATTTTATGTAAGTTTACTATCAAATTAAAAAACAATGACAGACATAAACTTAGGTTTTTAACTAACAACAGGAAAATTATACAATAACAAAATGTTAAAGATAATTTATGATACAAAATATACATTAAGCAGCACTGTTTATCAGTCAGCACTGTTTATCAGTGACATCAGTTCTTCTTGTGGATGGTTATTAAATACCATGGTAGACAATTTATAAAATTTTATAAGTAAATATGACAATTATGATATATTTTAAAATTTGAACATGAACAAATATTTCAGAAACTTGTGAATACAGTCAACAAGCATAAATCTGACTTAAAGCACACATTTGAGATGCAAAGATTAGAGCAGACAGAACTAGATAACTTGAAGTCACAACACGCACAGAAACTCTCCGAGCTTGAAAAAACACAGAGAGAACTACTGGATGTAAGTTACTCACATATGAGCCACGTCACGACAAAACCAACATAATGGGTTTGCGACCAGCATGGATCCAGACCAGCCTGCGCATCCGCGCAGTCTGATCAGGATCCATGATGTTCGCTTACAAACTCTATAACAAGTAGAGAAACTGATAGCGAACAGCATGGATCCAGTTACTGTTTTCTTTGTAATTTTTTAAAACCAATTTCTATCTGAAAATTGTGTCTTAAGTTTGATGTTGCTGTTGGATTAATTAAGCCTCTTTGATCAATGATACTGAAGTTTTTATATAAATAAAACAAACTGTTGCTTGGGAAAGTTTTCAAGTTTGATACTCTAGTTCAGGTGAAATTTCTCAATGACAATTGATCCCATACATTGAAATAAAAATCATACTATATGTACATTGAAATAAAAGCATTAAATGTACATTGAAATAAAAGCATACAATGTACATTGAAATAAAAGCATACAATGTACATTGAAATAAAAGCATACAATGTACATTGAAATAAAAATCATACTATATGTACATTGAAATAAAAGCATACAATGTACATTGAAATAAAAGCATACACTGTACATTGAAATAAAAATCATACTATATGTACATTGAAATAAAAGCATACAATGTACATTGAAATAAAAGCATACAATGTACATTGAAATAAAAATCATACTATATGTACATTGAAATAAAAGCATACAATGTACATTGAAATAAAAGCATACAATGTACATTGAAATAAAAGCATACAATGTACATTGAAATAAAAATCATACTATATGTACATTGAAATAAAAGCATACAATGTACATTGAAATAAAAGCATACAATGTACATTGAAATAAAAGCATACAATGTACATTGAAATAAAAGCATACAATGTACATTGAAATAAAAACATACCCTGTACATTGAAATAAAAACATACCATGTACATTGAAATAAAAACATACAATGTACCATGCCATGTACATTGAAATAAAAGCATACAATGCACATTGAAATAAAAAGCATACCATGTAAATTTATAAAAGTTATATCATGCTACTTTTCTTGTACTGAAATGTGGTACTTTTTAAGATAGTAAAATCATGTATATTGCTATAGATACACTTTTTTTTCAAAGTAACAGAGATAACATTTTTTAACACAGAAAATAATTTGGTTTATCATTACAGGAGAAGAATGCATTAGAATCATACAACTCTGACGTTAACAAGAAAGCATCGGAACTTGAACGACTGCGCGGAATTATAGAAAGAGATAGGGAGGATGTAGAGAGACTCGCCATGGAAAAACAATCGTATGAGGACAGAATATCCACCATGACACGAGAGAAAGAGATGTTAGATGAAACTTTTAAAACTCTCGACACCAAAGTGGCACATATGAGGAGGTTAGAGATTATTTTTTCATATGAAAGTTATATTGCATTGTAACAATTGATAAGTTTTATAACAAGTCTATGATTTTACTTATAGATTTCTAGCTAGAGAAAGTAACATTGATTCTACATATCCCTCATCTCCTTGGGTTTTTTGCTAAATTGTACATACAAGAATATTTAATACAGATAGTTTTCACCAGGTTTGTATCAATATCAGTAGTTTTACTCTCTCAACCTATGCACGTGACACAGTCCTCAATATTTTAAAGTGTCAAGTCCTACATGGTATACACAGTATCTGTTGGATTTATTATTAAATTAAGCAAAGCATGACTGTATCTTTGTTATTTTTGTTCATAATTATTAGCAAACTTTTGAAGTACTTTTTTATTACATTTACAATATCATTGAAATGTAGAATTTATGAGAAAGAGAAGAATTATTTTGTTATAGGGATGGGTGATTAAAGCATTTATTATGGGATTATTTATATATAATTATGATTACAGGAGCCAGAATACAATGGAGGAGAAGATAGACAGTACAACACGGAGGCTGGAGACCCTCGAGGGTGAACTTGTACGGAGGGAGAGGGAGATGGATGAAATGAATAGAGAAAAAACTCACATGCAGAAAGATCTGAATAATCTGAAAAATGCTCTAAAAGGTTGGTTACATTTTGTTGCCTGTAATTTTGGTTGTTACAAGATATGGTATATATTAAACAAGTATTGACTTATAATTTTGATATCTATGTAGAGTTTTTGAGGTTTGAGAAAGTTATTTTGACCAAGGACAGTAGTCTGAGTTTGATATACTTTTTATTAAGTCAGTAAACTATATATTGACTGGATAATGATACATATACCTCTGGCTATATAGAGAATATTTTTATCTTTTAAGAGATTATAATAATAAAATTTTATAATAATAAAATTATCAGGTTTACATGTGTTTTAGCATACATGCCATAATTTTTGGACAGCTTTCCGGGACACTTTTCATCGCGGCAATAATGGATGTGTTGGCAGTTGTGGAAAGGGGGGGGGGGTGTCAATCGTATAACGTTATTAAATTAGGACGACTTTCTCCTGAATTTTAATGATAAACAGTTAACTTACTAGTTTTATAAGTTGTCTTTTAGGTCGACATATTTATCATTTTAAAAGTATTTCTTTATTTAATTTATTATTCCCTAAAAGCAAGTAAGTTGTAAGTTATAAACCCGGTGAATGGGCGCAGCCATGTTGTTCACCCGTTATATCTTAAAGTCATGATAATTACTACATGTCACGTAATGCAATTCTTCCGGTCATAAAAACAAACACAGCAAGGTGATTTATTTGACACCTTTTTTTTATTTGATAGATATATTTACATTGTTTGTAATAATTAGACTTTCGGCAAGTTAGCGATTGATCTAAAAAATTAATGATTATCGGGGATTAACGATAATTGTTAAGGGCCGTAAACAATTAATTAACCCGACCATTATACGCTGCCGAATTCAACAGAGAATGTTAATTGCCGATGCATGAAGAATCTATTGCCGAGGGGAATCGACAGTCGATATTTGGGGGGCTGTATATTGTAAACTTGTAAGTGTCAACGTTCCTGTGTATTATGTGTACCAGGTCAGATTATGTTTTACGATTTAGAGGTGAAATATGCGAGATTTGATTGAAGAAAATTTATGAAAATTTTGCAAAATATCATGATTTTTTTTTCCGGGATTAAATCGATGCCCGGGACATCTCCGGGACAGACATCCGATTTCCGGGACAATCCCGGGCATCCGGGACGTTATGGCATGTATGGTTTTAGCAGTCTGTACATCTTTATGTGAACTGATGACTTAGCTCCAATCAGATCAGTGCATAAATGAACAGTATAGTATGTTTCTTATTATATGTCATCATGTATACATACTTATTTCAGATGGGAAAAATGACTTAAAACTGTGTAAAGAGCAGATTAAGGATGCAGAGAAAAGTATTGCCCTCTTAGAACAGGTGCACCTGATTTACTTTTGTTTTCTGTCAATTTTTTTTTTTAAATTTCAAATTGAATCATCTGAGAGATTGTAAAACTATGAAGAAGCTTTTTTGCCCTTGATGTAATAAGCGTCTTACATACAGATTTATTTAAGTGAAAACTATAAACCTTGACCTTTAGTGAAACTGAGGATAAAAATATGTGTTACACTCTGAAAAATCATTGAAAACAAAGATATATCCTGTATTAAAACTAGTTATTATATTTTCACAAATGTGTGTTTTATCTATTTGTAACCCTGAACCTACTGGTATCCATAGTAATACAATGTAAGTCTTTGCTATGAGCCTTTTCCACCAGTGCAGTTTTCTTGTTGATATCTGTAATTGGTAGTAATTATATTTTAAAAGAAGTTTACTGAACTTGTATTTCTAGCAATTACGTGATACAAGTTTACAGAGAGATGAGGCCAAGTTAGAAATGGAACGTTTGAATGAAGGAATACGACAGTCTCGAATCACCCATGACGACTGTATCCGACAACAACGACAGCGTGAGGAAGAGTTACAGGACCTGATACGAACAATGGATGAACGCGAGATAGAGTATCAAGAAACTAGGAAGGTAGTACACAAACATTTTGTCAGTCCCTATTTGAAGATTTATATTTAATTTTGATGGCAATAACTCTGATGTTAATTGTAAATGCATAAAGCAGAAATATTGTTTGAGAAGTTGGAGAACTGTAGAAATATTTTAATTATCCCTCTAGATGATATTAATAATTAAAAGTATTATTTTCAACTTTGTTTGAATTGGTAAGACATATAAGATTATCAGTACAGATTTGTTTTTGTTGTTGAATATAGAATTTGAATATTTTGTTGTTTCCTTTCAGTCTTTAAACAAAGTTAGAAAAGAAGTAGAAAAAGAAGAAAGCAAACTTCAAAAGGTAAATTTGTAGTCATCTTTAATACTCATCATTTTGTTTCATTTCTCTTAATATATCTTTAAAACTTGTTAACCCAGAAAAAGGAAAGTTGACTAGTACAGACAAAAAAAGTAGAATAGACAAGAAATAGACCAGAAAACTCCCTAGTGCCAGATTTTTGAAACTCCTTTCAATTGTAGAAGAAATAAAAAACAATTGGTTTAAACATATTTATTTAAGCTCGATTGCGAAACAAGTTCTTGCAACTTATATTAATCACTTTCGAGTCTTCCTGGAACCAACCAGTACTGGTGTCATATAAAGAAACATGGTCGTGACCCGAGTATGGCTCGAACCCATGATCTCTGGGTTGAGAGGCAGACACCTTAACCACTAGGCCACCGCTCCCCATTAAAAAACAATTAGACTGTGATATTTGAAAAGTCTATTTAAATCAAAAGATTTGTTGTTTTTTTTACAAGTTTGGAGTAACCTGATTTTTGATAGAATCTAAACAGAAATTAAAAAATGGCCCAATGGAAGGGTTTTTTTTTTCATTTAGTATTCTGTTGAAAATGTAGTCAGAAATTTGAATTTTTAAATAGTTCTTCAATTAAGTGGAAGTAGCCGTGATAGCAGTTATATAATATATAATTGCAATATTTTTGTATCAGTTCTAATCAGTATCATTTCAGAATACAAGAACATATAATATTGACAAAGTTTGTTTTTTAACAGACTATTTTTTCATAGCTTTGTTTTTCAAGAAAAGAACTACTTTCATCACTCATGTCTCATATTCATGCGCCTTGCTTAGCATGGCTATATAATATCAATAACACAAAATAGACTAGGTCTTGCCTCCTATGTCTTTACAAATTGCAAAATCAATTAATATCAACAAGTGGATTTCAATTAAACTTATTGCTAAAGCTTTATATGTATGTCACACTCTTTTATAAGTTATTATTAATAAATTTTAGTAATTTACAATATTCCTCTGTTAACATGTTATACAGAAAAACACATTAAAGTTTTGTTAAGATTTTTGTGTTAAGTTACAGTCTTATACCATACCAATGTAGTATAACTAGACATTTTACTGCTGGTTTGGTAGGAGAAGGGGACCGTTCCTTCACATAATAATGGACAGTTTTAAATATGGAATAACAGGATCCTACCCTTTTACGCTTGTTATAATTTGTTCAGTATACATATTGTTTTACTTTACCATCATTATTATGGAGTATTATAAAAATTTGCAGGTTTTGAAATAAAAATTTGCAGGTTTAAAATAAATGTTCATACGTTTCAAAAGTTGTAAATGTAAAACAAAATAGCAGCAACATTTTAATCTTTACATCACATCTGATAAGATATAAAAATGTGTTTTTCTGTATTAAAAAAAATCACTCCTGACCAACTGTGGTGATGGTAGCTTTTGTCATGTTGTCACATGCGCCCACAAATCTTTTCAGCTTGTTACAACGGCAAATTATGAGCTTGATCACATCCGTACTGACCTAAATACCAAACAGAGTGAGCTCACCATAGCAACTGCAGATATCATGAATCTAAAGGTAACAGTGTGTGAAATAATCTTGTAGTCAAATGGTAAACAGGGTTTATACTTGAGGAGGGTTTTTTCTCTTAGCTTACCTCAGCACAAAGTGCTCCAAGTTGAGCTTTTGTGATAATGTGATGTGTTTCCGTTGTCTGTTGTTTGTCCTTATCAACAATTTCTTTAAACAACATTTTTTCCTAAGGCACAAAGTGAATATTAACCAAACTTCACAGAAATTATCCTCTATGGTCATATAATAAAGTTATTAAAATAGTTTCTGTCTGGTACATAAATACTGGTAAGGCAAAAGACCTAAAAATAGACTTGAAAAATGAAATTTTTAAAAGTCTTTTATGACCAGAGGTAAGATATTTAGCATGTAGCATCATTTTGTGATCCTCTACAAAAACAGTATAAATCATAACTCTAGGGTCAAAACTGGTTAAAATATGACCTCTACATATAAGATGTGTGACCTTCTCTATTAATGACATTCTCTATTAAAGTATTTTAGGTGAGCGATATAGGGGCATCATGGGCTTCTTGTTTTTATGAGCCTAGTTTTTTATATAAATGATGTAATGGCCATATGACATTAAATTCAAATGTTTCCTGAAATCTATAAAAAAAAAAAGAATGTTAAAAAAGAAACAAAATAAAACTTGTGAAGTTATTGTATCAAGATGAACTGATCTTTGAAGAACTACCACTGTGTCAGTTTTGATATACTCAGTAAATAACTCTTACAAACCCTGTTTAGGTGTGGTTCTTCTTTTAGTAAGCTAAATATCAATCAAAATGATGTAAAAAAAAATGGATGTAAAAAAAGATGTAAAATGTAGCATTGGCTTATTGGTGAGTAACTATGGTAATGTTTGGTTGAGGGTTTTGTCTTTCTTCATTTCTATTTATTTAATTATACTCTCTATTCTTTAGGTAACATGACCCACTAATAACCTGCTATTAAAAAGAAATATATCTGAAAATATAAAATTGTCAAATGAAATTTTTTTACTATGCTTTCTAATGGTATCAATATGCACTTTAATATATGTAAATTGTAATTTGCAATGCTGTATGCTTATGTTTTATTGACTTCTTTTTGCAAATTTCAATGAAGCATCATTTAGTTGCATTTCATTTTCATTTAAATCATTTATTTATTGTCATGCCATGTACATGTGTTAGAAAAGAAATTAATCATTGTGTATTTTATAGTTTTATTTACATGATAAGAACAAACTTGAAATAATCTATTGTACATACAGTGCATCCTGAAAATTTGACCCTCTTTTAGAGCTTTTACAACAGCAGTTTTGGTTCTTCACAATGAAAGACTCTGCACAATAAAATACAACTATCTAGAACAACACATCATCATCAACCAATATCTTAATGTCTAAAAAGATTGTTGCTCTTCAGAGGTTGAATTTTAACTTTATGTATAATTCTAATCACTTCTATATTTTGAAAATACAACCACCAAAAATAATAGAAACTTCAGAATACTGGTTACATGTAGGCAAGTGGAATATGAGCATCATAATAATAATAATAAAAAATTCATGTATAGTTTGTCAGTAATTATGTTCTGAGCTTTGAACTTGATCAGTGATAAAGAGCCTGAAGTATGTGGAAGCTTTCCTCCTATTTCTTGATTCTTAAGAAGTTATTCCATAGCTATTCTTGAAGAAGGTTTACCTATTTTTCTTTGCCACCTTTAGATAGGAGTCCATTTATTTAAAAATATTATGTTGTGAAGTGAACATTATAAGAAAGTAATTCACATATTATAAATGACATTTACAATCCACGTAAATTACCAAAAAGAGGTTTAAAATATGCAAAAATATCCATTACTGCATTAGTTACAAAGTAGAAATATGGTGGTAAGAACTGCAAAATCAGTCATTTATCCCACATAACATGTAAATTATTACTTGAAAATTGAAACTTCTTACTTTCTTAAAGTCTTAGTCCATTTTTCTCCAGTTTGATTTTTTTATCAAGTCTTGAAATATTCTGGAGTCATGCAGCTAAATAATCAAAGTTACAATGCACTAATAAACACAGTAAGCCTAGAAATTATTAATTAATAACAGATTCATTGATGTTATTAATTCACTACAATTTATCATTTTATAGAAAGAGGCAGAGAAGATGGAACTAGATGAGAAGAAGTTGTCAGAATGTGAGAAACAAATTAGAGAACTCAGTAAGTTTCCTTGTGTTAAAATAACAAAAGTCCTGTTAACATTAGAGATTTATTTGTATTGATAAAGCCAAGAACTTGTTACCACTTTATAGATTATATATTACCAAAAGTACAACTGTATAATAACATAATAATAAATCTTGTTATCACTTAAACCATGACACAGGAGTGTTATAAACCCATATAATAAAAACCATATTACACTTAGTCTAGTGTAATAAGACTTTGCCATTTACTTCTATATTAACTTTTATTCTGATTGAATTTTGCTGAGTCAATTATTTCTCACTGCTGATTCAGAAAATTTTGAAATTGAGGGATAAGTAAAAAAATTAGGAATTACAAAATGTACACATAATTAATCAAGGAAAGACAGGGAGGTTTACTGACTGCCGATATTTGACCAAAATGTGTCAGAATCAGCATAATAAACTGAAAAACAAACAAACATAAGATTGACAGGTGTTTCTGTGTATGTATATGTTATAAATGGTTAATTTTTTTTTCAGAACAAGAAGTTCAGGACAGAAATGAGGAGAAGAATGAGCTTGCCAAAGCTCTAACAAGATCATACGAGGAGCTACAGAAACTACGTACAGAATCTGCCCAGGTAATAGTGCTTCAAAATCTATCCATTTTGTGTGCTGTTTTAAGTCTGATTTCAGGTTAAGTGTTTAAACACTTTGAACTCAAACCAGGCTTAAAAATAGCACCAAAAATACAACTTTGAATATAATTCTGATTATAGTTCATTATATTTTTTTTGCATATCTTTCCATTTTAGGTGCTCCATTTTATCTATGTTAGAAGTTCGAAATTTGTGTTCCCGATCTTTTTTGAACCTCAGTTGATTTATTCTAAATGACATATAATTGATATATTACATTGTATTACAGGAACAGGAACGTTTGACAATGGACAGAATGCAGTTAGAAAATACACTCAGGGACATGCAAGATCAATTAGAACATGCTAAAAAGGTAAAAGCTCAATTTTTTCATCATCCATTTTATGATACTCATTTTCAGCAGATTATGCAGAGAATTCCCCACTGAAAAATTAAATATTTATTTTACTGTCTATGACTTTGACTTCTTACCTTACCTTACTTGTTGACATTGAAATAATTGTGCAGGAAAAAAATTGACAGAGTTTGTGTAAGGCAAATAGACTTTAAAGTGTTAATTTAATGACATTATTTTAAATGAAAAGTTATAATGAACATGAAGCAGTCAGTTGTTTTAGACATTGATCTTCATTTTTTTACCCATAATAAAATTGTATCCCTTAGCTTAAAATAAGATGTTTTGGTAAGGCAACTGGACTGTATATCCATTAAGGTATTAGGAAAACAACACCAATAAGTTATGTTCACAACGCAACATAATAATATTATATGTTCATATTCAATAATATTTGTATTATCAGGAAATTCAGCAGATGCAGAAACGTTCAAGCTCTCAGATAACAGAGTTACAGGCCCTGGCTGAGGACCAGTTTAATCGTGCCAATAAACTCACCGATGAACTTGCAAAACTTAGAACTAAAAAGGTTTGTTACAATTCTTTACTGGTACATTTCCAATTTTAGAGGACTATGACTGAAGTTTTATGTATTTGTGAACAACATGCATAGTATTGTATTAATTTAAGATAATTGTAATAGAAAAATAATGGAAAAAGCATTTTTATTAAGGTAACATTCTTTAGATATAGGACTGCTGTTATATTGTTAGTAATTTAGTTAAGCATTAAACTTTTTTGTGGTCAAACAAACTATAAACAATAAAAACTTGTACCAGCTTTTAAGTTACTGACCAAGATAGATCCTTTTTCTCATAAAATGTTACAAAGCAGTAATGATGTAAAGTAGAAGTAAATGAAGTAGTTATATATGAAGTAGTCATTATTATGTGAAGTAGAAATGCTTGTTTTTGTATCCAATTGTTGCCAGTTTATTAATTACTCTGCAGAAGTTTTATACACTTAACATAAAACTGTAGTAATGTATTTAAAATAAATTTAATTTTATGCATTATATACATTATAGTTATACATCAATACTGACATAAAAATATCATTGTTTTAAAAGAAAGTTTCAGAAGCTCAACAAATAAAAAAAAATCAAATCCCCATATAGTTCACCTTACTTCTTACCAATATAAATTGGCATAGAAATCAAACGGCATAGCATATTTGTTTAATAAGCTTGACGCCTCATTTCTATCATTTCACAATGATATAATTGTATACATTATTGTATACTTTGTGTACACCCCAACATTTTCTAGATAGATAACAGAGGGATCAGATCAAAACATCTTGATGCTGGTCCCTTAATTTGATTTTGTTTGTGAAGTTATTCAGTAAGAGGAAAATGTTATAGTCTGAGGGCTGGATAACTGTGTGTATCAATGCTAATGAATCATTTGATGTTTGTGAATTATCTACAAAGATAATATGGATGAATTTTAGGTCATTACACACTGTTGGCCCTATTATATTATCATACGCTGTCTTAATTGTGCATACATTGTTCTACTTATGTTCTATACATTCTAATTTTAAATTTTTTAATCACATCTAAATCAAAAATAAAACAAACCATTCTTACAGGAAACTGACCAATCACAGGCCACCTTATCTGATGTGACCAATCAGAATGCAGGAATTAATGATGATGATGATAGTAAAAATGTTGAGGTGCTTATCTCATTTTTGTAGTCAGTAGAATTTTGTAATGACTTAGAATACTGTGTCATCAGATTTCTTTTTTTTTTTTTTTTTTGGCCTGAAAAATTATCTCTGGTTACTTTAAATAAGATTTCATTGGCCTATATTTTACAATACTTAAATATTGTTGCTTTATTTGTTAAATATTTATTATTTTGTGCAATTATAAAACAAAATTAGAAAAGAAAAAAGTTTCCAAAAAAAGTCAATAAAGGTTTTTTCCCTTGCAATTGTTTGTTAAACCATTGGATAGTTTCTTATAAAATTCAAAAACATGGTTTCTGTAACAATTTTGATAGAAAAATCTGATGAAACATATATAGACTACCTTTAATTAATCTCTGAATTATAGATTATATATTTACCTTCCCTCACTTACTGTATGTGAATAAGGTTGATGTTTTATATTTTATTAAAATTAAATTCAAGTCCATTTATTTTATACATTTAGCTTTGAGATATGTTTTATGTAGTTCAGCTAGAAAAATATTAATTTTAATGTTCCAAAATACACTTTCTTTTAAAAAAAAAACAGTTTTATTTTATTTTATTTTTTTGTATGAAAAGAAAAGCAATATGTTAATTACAAGAATGATAAAGATAAAATTCAATAAAGTCATAATTTTTAGCTCGACTTTTTTTTTTTTGAAAAAAAAAGTAGAGGTATTGTTATAGTCAGGTCGGCGTTGCCGTTGCCGTTGCCGTCTCCGTTGCCGTTGCCGTTGCCGTCCGAAAACTTGTACCTGGATCATAACTTTTTTATTTCTTGGTGTATTGTCTTCATACTTGGCCACAACAACCCTTGGGACAAGACCTTTCAGTAGACCACACTAACCTTGACCTTCATCCATAAATGACCTTGACCTTCAAGGTTAAAAGTCCAATTTTTGCTTGTTCATGCTGTTATTGGCTGTTACTTTGTTATTTTTGAATGGATTGTCTTCAAACTTGAACATAATAATCTTCAAGGATATCCCTTAAAAATAACCAGTCAGACCTTGACATTCACTCATCAATGACCTTGACTTTGAAGGTCAAATTATTGAAATTTTAATTTTTTTGGCTATTATTGGCTGTAACTTTGTTATTTTTGAATGGATTGTCTTCAAACTTGAACATAATAATCTTCAAAGATAACTGTTAAAAACATACCGAAAGACCTTGACCTTCACTCATTAATGACATTGCCTTTGAAGGTCAAATTATTGAAATTTTCATTGTTTTGGCAGTAACTGACTGTAACTTTGCTATTTTTGAAGGGATAAACTTCATATTATAACAGAACATTCTTAAGGACCAGACCTTGTTGTTTATCAAACCCAAATTTGCTTGGGCTCTTTAATGACCTTGACCTTGAAGGTTATATTACTGAATTTTCTCAGATTGTGCATTTATCGGTGTGAGTGTATGTATAGTATATGTATTATATATAAATATATATATAAATGTGTGTGTGTATATATATACATATATGCAGGTAGGTAGGTATATATATATATATATATATATATATATATATATATATATATATATATATATATATATATATATATATATATATATATATGTATAAATATATATATATATGTGTATATATATATATATATATATATATATATATATATATATATATATATATATATATACATATACAGATATATATATATATATATCAAATATATATATATCAAATATATATATATATATATATATATATATATACATATATATACATGTACATGTATATAATTGCGTCATGTTTTTCTATTTTTAGAAATTGCGTCATTTTTTCTATTTTTAGAAATTGCGTCATTGTTGCTATTTTTAGAATTTGCGTCATTTTTTTTCTATTTTTAGAAATTGCGTCATAGTTGCTATTTTTAGAAATTGTGTCATTGTTTCTATTTTTAGAAATTGCGTCATTGTTTCTATTTTTAGAAATTGCGTCATTGTTTCTATTTTTAGAAATTGCGTCATGTTTTTCTATTTTTAGAAATTGCGTCAATTTTTTTCTATTTTAAGAAATTGTGTCATGTTTTTCTATTTTTAGAAATTGCGTCACTTTTTTCTATTTTTAGAAATTGCTTCATGTTTTTCTATTTTTAGAAATTGCGTCATTTTTTCTATTTTTAGAAATTGCGTCATGTTTTTCTATTTTTAGAAATTGCGTCATTGTTGCTATTTTTAGAATTTGAGTCATTTTTTCCTATTTTTAGAAATTGCGTCATTTTTTCTATTTTTAGAAATTGTGTCATTGTTGCTATTTTTAGAAATTGCGTCATTTTTGTTCTATTTTTAGAAATTGCGTCATTTTTTCTATTTTTAGAAATTGCGTCATTGTTGCTATTTTTAGTAATTGCGTCATTTTTTTCTATTTTTAGAAATTGCGTCATTTTTTTCTATTTTTAGAAATTGCGTCATTGTTGCTATTTTTAGAAATTGCGTCATTTTTTTCTATTTTTAGAAATTGCATCATTGTTGCTATTTTTAGAAATTGCGTCATTGTTGCTATTTTTAGAAATTGCGTACTGTTGCTATTTTTAGAAATATGCTTAATGTTTCTATTCATATATATACAAAATATATAAATAAACAAAACTAATGTGACAAGACAGACCAACTAAATTTATAAAAAGGAAACATCAATATATGTTCAAACCTTTCTATGTTTGCGTTTAGAAAAAGTAAAAAGTCGAGCGTTGCCCCCGCCCGGCGGTGGCTCTTGTTATATCTATTTATTAACTTAATACTCTTATAAGATTCCACAACACAGGGGTAGGAAATAAAACTTTAACAATGCCTTTTTATAATCTTTACTCTTGCTGTAACTATGTAATTTTGACTCTTATATGTATATGTATTATTAAGATTTATTAATTTAATTTTTAACTATTTTGTAATTCTGTCAAATTTTTGTAGGCTATTTTCATAATTCAGTACCATTTTCTGATCTTATTGTTAGTACTTTAGAATAGCTTGAGTAACCTTTATATTCACAAAATGTAGACATTTATAATTGTAATATACAATGTACATGTAGTATAACATTTCATTTTTCTATAGATAGAAAAAAGTTTTTGCCTTTTCTTCACATTTCTAAGATAAAAAATGTGTAGATAACAGATTTATAGGCTAGAATTTCTATTTTTCTGTTTTTATAGTTTGCTAAATGACAAAGGGAATACATGTAGTTCAATAGTTTTTTTTTAGAAATCATCTTGGTTTTTGCTAATTTATAGCAATGGTTCATGTTCTTGATTTGATTGTGAACATTTAAGAAGAAAAGGCAAGAACCGTAGTATATTAATGTCCTTATAATAAATCCCTTATTTTGCCTCCATTTTCAGCACACTGTATCACATGACAGTCAGGTGACACAGTCACATGACAAAGGACAGTATCCAATCAATATTGTCTCTGAGAATTCAAAGTCTTCCACAAGAAACTATACAAATATGACCACTGGGCATTATAAATCCAATGATCAGTTCTTTGTTGAGCAAGATTCAGACTTAAGTTGGCCGACTGGTAGCCCAGATAATAGCTCAAGGTTTTCTTTATCCCCTGTAAGGTCAAGATCTAATGATCCATCAAAAGGTCAGAGTAATTCTCGAACTAAGCCTCTCAGACCTTTAAGTGCAAGTTTTAGAGAGGAGAGTTCTAGGTCCACTTTACCCCGGGAAAACCGTTTCAGGTCTGCCTATACAAGGCAGAGAGAAAGGAGTTGGAGTCCACCAAGTGTAAGAGATAGGGACCAAAGCCCTAGATTCAGAGATAGAAGACTGTTGCCTTCCCCAAATAAAGATTTTGACTCATTTTCACTGCCAGAGTTACCAGATAGATCCACTGCCATAGACAGAGATTCATACTTCCCCTCTCCGTCACCTGTTTCTAATGTGCCTTGTTCTGCAGTATCAACACCTGCAGTAGCATCAGTTTATATGGTAACAGATTCTTCATCAACCATTACCTCATCCTTTACAAGTCCTCCAACCACTCAGAGAGACCAAAGAGAACAAGTGACACAAAAGTCAACCCCCATGGTCCCTGCCATAGGTCTATCGCCACCAGTGAGAGACTCTGGTTCCTCCTTAACAACTGTTACTTCCCTGACCGATCAAGCGGCCCTGAACAGTGCACGTGACAGTGGTGGCACAGACAGACGAAGACTTTCATTTGACCTTGGTTTCTTAGACATACTGACCATAGATAGTAATTCTAGTATAGCTGATCAGTTGAGTACAGGAAGAGTGAGTTAGCTCTTTAATTTTGTTGTGGTGGTGGTTCATTGGTAAGGTCAAAGTTCAAGGTCATTTTGGTTAATTCATTCTGATAGAAAGAAATTAAATTAATCCTCATAAACACAATTTCAGTGCTGTTTTTTAAAAGTCATCGATAGCTATTGAAAAACTAACAGCTTAATATTCAGCTTTATAGAAATAGAATTGAAATGACCTTCAACTTTGACCTTTACCCTTGATATACAACAAAGATTGTCTCATTCTGTTTTGTATTGTAATCAACATGGACAGAGTTTTCAGAAATCTTAATCCGTAACCTGCTTGAACCAATTGATAGCTGTTTGCCACTAGTATATAGCCATGGCTGACTAAATTGAAATTTTCATCTTGAAATCCCCTAAATTAATAATGTACAGTTCTAAAATGGAAGCTGGACAAGTCCATTTAAGAAATTCAGCAGATTAAGGGTTATAATTGTATCATTAATCAGGTAACAGGGACTATCTAGATGTTGTGATGGTTTAACAAGAAGAAAATAACAGGAGATGGGGGAACTTTATAACTACTGTGAAGCAATCTTTGTTTTTTTAACAATCATACTGTAAAATCAGAAATAAACAAATACACCTTAATAAATATGGTTAAGATTTTAATGTTTTTCCTATGCATAAAATATGCCTTTAAAGTAATATATGCTTACAGTTTAAAGGTTGGTCAAGTACTTTTCATATAAAACATCCTATGATTAAATTTTTAATGTGTATGCATTTACCAAAGGTAACCATCCTTGCATCATGAACAGATACTTCACTATTGACTTCTTAATTTATAATTTTGATATTAAAGGTACTCAGCAGTGTATTTAAAGATTTAAAAAATGAAACAATTTTAAGAGAAATATCTTATTTATTTTTGTTGGATCAATTGGGATGAAGTTATGCTTTACTCTGATTTTTTTTACTAAGAATTTCAAGTGATGTAATTGGTTTTAGGAGAGAGTGGCATTTAGATGGGAATGTTTATTAGAGATTTTACAGTATATAACTAAATCAGGTTGTTCTATCATGTAATGCCTATACTGCATGTGTTTCACATGTTCTTATTTTATGTCAGATCATTATTTCATCTCTTGTTGGTCATTACTATTGCTTTATAAGCAGATAATTTCATTGGATTGATTAATGAATTTTTAGCTTTAAAAGAAATGGACCCATCATAACCTACTTATATCATATTGTTTGGCACTATTTATCAAAGTTACTTTCATTAAAACATCAAAAAAAATTACATATGAAAATTTTACCATTCTACTAAAGGGTCATCTTTTTTTAGCGGTTATATATTGTTAGTTATACGTATTGTACATTTAATATGACTTAAGTATGAGCAGTTTTAAGCATACATGACCTGAGAGCAGTTAGGGCAGGGTTATATGGTTAACAAAAACACTTGTTAAAATGTGTTATAAATAGCATCATGATTATTAAATGAAAATCATTGTTACAAACATGCAGTAATTAAGCAAGAAACAATTAGTTGAAAATTGCAGACTTGCATATACATGTATTAAGTTTGTTCATGACAGATATTGTAAATTGCAAGTCCATTTAAGATACCGGTATTTAAAATGGTAAAGATTAAAATGGTTATGATGGGTCTATTACAAACCTCAGGACTTAATGGATGGAGAATTGTTTTACTTATCCTCAAAGCTCAAAGCAAAACAATTAATTTATTTTAATCAGAATTTATTATTTAACTAGATATTGATCAGTGATTTAAGGTCATAAATTTATTTCAGCATAGAAAGCTGTTTTAATAAATTTGTAACTGTTTTGATTAATTACGATAGATTTTCAGTTTTCTTTTGATACTATTTCAATGTAAAGTAAGTATTTAGTAATGACTTTATTTAATGAGGCTAACACATTCAGTTTCCCGACCTGATCTTCCATGTATTCTGTATTCCCATTGGTGATTTAAATCCTTTATTTCTAGTTGTCTAGATAGTTTATTGAATGACACGTCTTGTGTATTGAATGACTCATCTTGTTATTTTTCTCCACTTCTTGATTTTTTATTTTCTTGACTGTGTCACTTAAGTACTGTACCTTTTGACTTTGAAAGCTAAGAATTATAAGCAGTTATCAAATATAGATAGAATATTAAAGGTTTCCTGTTTCATTTCAGTGACTTTTGATTAAGGAGATATACATTTGACATTACGCAGAGATTTTATTTTTTATTTATTTTTGTTTTTACAGACGATAGACAGACTGTCTGATGATAAAGAGAATATAAGAATAGAAAGTGCCGAGGAACAGAGGAAGTCGGAGCTTTTACGAGAAAAATTGTCAAAGGAGCAAGAGTTACTTCGGGTAAAATTTTAATAATCTTTTATAATACAGTAGAAAAAAATAAGGCTGTAAGCCAAAATATTTGGTACATAGCATTCTTGAATCGCAGACCAAGGTTTAAAGCTGTTTTTAGTTTACCTCAAATTTTAGCATTTCTTTAAGACTTTAGCAAGATATTTTTGTACAAATTAAGCCTCTACCTAATATACATTTGGTATTGAAAGCAAGTAATTGTCAAAATTTAATGTAGTATTTTAATTATCTCATTTTTTTTACATTTTTCTTTTATTATCCAACACTGTGAAAAGTGGTACATTGTATATGTGGTTACGTGGAATTACCTGAAATTTGTATCCTGGGTTAAGGCTATTCAGAATATAAGCATTCTTTTGGGAAATGTGGAAAATTTAATTAATGTTGTTGCAAAATAAGAGACAAAAAAATGTTAGGTTTAAAGTGATTAATCACTTGTTTTATTTTAGTTACAACTACAACAACAAATGCAGAGACATGCTGATGCAATGGAACAAGCAAGACTTCAGTCAGAGGGTACAATAGAAAATTTGAGGAAGAAACTCAACACCTTACAAGATGTAAGTTTGTGTAGGATAACATATTTCCATAGTGTAATACAATCTCCATGGTGATATACAGTTTCCATAGAGCAATAAAATCTCTTTGATGAAATACAATCCCTTTGATGCAATACAATATCCATCGTGATATACAGTCTCCATGTAGCAATACAATCTCAATAGTGATATACAGTTTCCCTGGTGCAGTACAGTCTCCATTGGATAATACAATACAGTCTCCATGGTGTAATACAATCTCTAGGGTGATATACAGTTTCCGTGGTGCAATACAGTCTCCATTGGAGAATACAGTCTCCATGTAGCAATACAATCTCCATGGTGGAATACACTTCCATGGTGCAATACACCCTCCATGGTGGAAAAAAAACTTTCCATGGTGCAATACACCCTCCATGGTGGAAAAAAAACTTTCCATGGTGCAATACACCCTCCATGGTGGAAAAAAAACTTTCCATGGTGCAATACACCCTCCATGGTGGAAAAAAAACTTTCCATGGTGCAATACACTATCATAATGGTATACAGTTTCCATGGTGCAGTACAATATCCATAATGAAGTACAGTCTTACAGAGTATGAGAATGACTGAGAAGTTCAAATTTGTAGACATAGAGAGTATGTATGTTTGTTAGAATATGTTATTATTGTTATAATATGTAAATGTTGATTATATTTCAGGTGTTAGTAACAACTTCAGATATAACCAGTCCAACTTTACGCAGGGCAAGGTCAAGGTCAGCTGGATTAATACCTTCTCCTGTAAGTTCTCTTTTAGTTTATAATATCTTCTTGTCCTGTATTATTTTGTGGAGATGAAGAAATCCCTTGTCATTAACAGTTCATATTTCTACAGGGTTACTAACACATTAGGGGATATTTTTGCACACTTTGACCTCTTTTTGGTAATTTACGTGGATTATAAGTGCCGATATGCAATGTGTCAATTACTTTCTTTGTTCACTTCAGAATATTTTACTTTAAAAGCATTTTCAAAATTTTCATGAACATAAGGATGAATTTGTATATTTATACTTATTCTTGTTACAGTTTGTTCTTTCTATGTTTTGTTAATAGGACAGACAAAGGTCACCTAGTCCAGCTTATCATCGTCATGGTTATCTTGCACAGCGACCAAGATCAAGGTCACGGTCGGACGACAGATTAAATAGGAACATTTATATAGACAGAGATAGTAAGTAATGAAGGATTATTCTTGCATAACAAGTACACACACTGGTATACGTTATCAGAGGAAAGAGCATGCATTTTGTTGATAAAACCGTTTGACCATGTGCTGTTGTTGTAGTTTTTACAATAATGTATGTGTGACTCATGGGGCAATGTAAAAATACCTTACTGAAATGATGGCCCATTTTCCATTTTCAAAACATAACTGTCAAATGATATCACAGTAGCACAGGGAAAGCATGACAAATGGTGTCTTTATATGTGACAAACAGACAATGAAAAGTGGAATAACCAAATAAGATGCAAGAATAGTGCTAATGCACCTTTTTTCAAGCATTAATATTTGTGGAAATGCTCTGATTTATTAAATCCCTTCTCCTTAGGCTTGGTCTTTAATTATGTTGTAGTGCTTGCATGAAAAGAGGTGCATTTACTCTCTATTAAAACTTTAACATCTTTTTGTAAGGTAAGAACTTGGTTTGTAAAGAAACAGTTATAAAATATCAACATACTTTAAAGTAACAATTTACATGTACTTTGTATAATAACAACTTTATTTTATATAGACATGTATGAATGATATGGTGTTTTAAATGTTTATTCCATATCATTAAGATAAAAAAAATGTTACATAAGTTAACAATGGTAGGAGTTTAATGTAAACATATCATTTGTTAAAAAATCTGTAAAAATTACAATCAAAAAGTTGAAATATGTAAAATATTCATAACTTATTGGAATGATTGTTTACTGTAATTAATTTGTTTACTTTAATTAATTTCTTCTGACTTCTTTTATGACATAAGTAGAATATTGCAATAAATGTTGTCTTTGCATCCCTGGTGAAATATTATTATATAGATCTATATTTTCAAATTTCTTCTATATCATATATAATTATATTGTATCTTTTATTTCAGTTTTGACTGTATGACGGAGAAATTTCCCGATTCTGTGATATTGTTGCCGTCCATTTCAAAATAGCGTTTCAAGTGCCAAGTTTTATATATATCTGAAGAAACAAGAGTTGTGACTGTTGTAGATCTATAATGTATTTATAGAGACTTTTCATGCCACATTTGTATAAGGTTAATTCCATTGTTAGGACAGTTAAACAAAAAAAAAGAGTTATAAGCACGTGACTGCATATACATGTAGATTGTTGACTGAGAAAATTAGTTAAAAGAAAATTGCTATCATCATACTTAGCTTACTGTTTGTTGTACACTGCATTTAGGCTTTAAGTAGTTGTTTTAACTAATGGTGTTTTTAACATTTCTAGAGGATTTAATCAAGGTGATATAGCATATTTTTTTACCAGTTAAAACACTGGCGTTTAGGTCTTGCTCTTTTGAAATTCAAGTAGAATGTAGCCGCCATTATTAGATATAAAAGTTGAAATATATTTTATACACACTATAACATCATTTGTGAATGCTTGTTTCGTCATGTTGTATAGTTATTTATTTATATCACAACGCTATTGAGATATATTGTTACTATATATGACTTACTAGAGGGTTGAAAGTCCTTTTGGGACTCAAGTAAACTTACTTTAATGTTAGAATGTGATTTGTGACTTGTATTTATAATTTATTATGTCCATGAATGTCTTGTTGCCATGGTAACTTCTATTATTTATTAGTCATGTCTAAAAGTGTCAATTGTATACTTCCGTCCAAGAGCAAGTATCCGTCCCTTAGCATATATCGCTAGAGAATTATTATACAAGTTGTTTTTAAAGTTTCTGTAGGATTTTATTTTTTTTATTTTGAAAAAAAATAATCTTGCTTTCCATCCAAGTTTGCGTAAGAAGATTTGGGTTAGTTATATATTTTACATGCAGATTTGAGTAAGATTTTAACATGTTTTATGTTTTAACAATTCTGTTCATTTATTTTCATTTACTATATTGAATAAATTTTAGAAAATATGCTTTCCCCTGACACACTATCTTATCATGAAACAATTGTTTGGAAGAAGAAGACTTTAAAAAGCATATGCTTTTGTCTTCTTATTCAATTGATCAGTCAGGGTTTTGTTTTTTTCTTTCTTGAAAAAGCACAATTATGTACAATGTAAGTATTAAATGATTATTTATTTATTGTGCAGAAATTTATTTTTAAAAATTTATTCATGACATTTTACTATTGAACAAAATTTTGACTGTGATATTTTAGTTTTTAATAGTAATATACATATAAGTTTTGAATTTGAAATTATAAACATTTCCAATATCAAATACATATATGATTAGTAATAAAGATTTTTTAGTGGTTATATGGCCACATATAAGTGGTTGTAGACTTATATAACATGTTCTACGTCTTTATAATTAATTTATAAAACTGCCTAAGGAAAATTTTAAAATAATAAAAAAATAAGTTTATATAGAGGATTTATAGATAATATAAACATCAAGATTTGCCAATGAAAATCGGCCTAACAAATGTGCAGTTCATATGTATTATAAAATATAAAGTGACTAAAGTTGTGCAGTGTTTGATAATATAGAATAGATAAACTGTTTAACTGAAAGTACCATTAAATAATAAATACCAATTCTTGATTTATTTTAGTTTATTTTCCTCTGGTCTTTACACATAAATGTTTGGTAGGTTTTGATAACTATGTATTTTTATTCAGTATTTTTTTTTTAAACACGTGTATTAAATGTGATATTTATGTAAAACACTTTGTTATGTGTTGTATTTTACTGTATACATAATAAAAAATAAAATCAAGTATTGATTTGTTGTTGTTTTTGTTAGCAATTTCACCATGAAAATAAGTATGTTTTGCTATACACTGTTATATATGAGTAGACTGGTCTGGGTCCATGCTGGTCGCATACCCATTATGTTGGTTTTGTCGTGACGCGGCTCATATAAATATCTTTTTGCTTTTTAATTAATACAGTTACATAATTAGTAAATTCGTTGATACCTCCGTCATATGATACAAATTACTTGATTGAAACTTTGTGGGTTAGTATCAAGTACTAGTGCCTCGAAAAATGAAAGCTGTTAATGAAGGTAGTTAATTATAATAATGACACAAAAAGTCCACATGTATGAACAGTGCTATGCAAAACGCTCATAATATTAAAAAGACATTCGTCCCGTTGAAATTAATGACATTAAAATATTTCTTTGAGAATGTAAAATTATCAGTCTGGTCATTCCTTTAAAGAAATTTTAATATTAAAGATTTAAGACTCACGCAAATCGATGCTGAATGCATTTCTAGAGTGGAGACAGCTAAGCTCCCTTTTCAACTTAAAAAATGCTCGGTCAAGTTTTTGCTGTAAGCTGCTATCTTCATAACTACTGGAGGTTTGTGTCTGTTTTTAGCTCACCTGTCTTGAGCTTTTGTGATTACTTTGCGTCCGTCCGTCCGTCCGTCGTCCGTCCGTAAACTTTAACTTTAAATGACATCTCCTCATAAACCACTAAGCCAATTTCATCCAAACTTTACAGGAATGTTCCTTTGGTGGTCACCTTTGGAATTTAATTCCATGCAGAACTTTGGCTGCCATGGCAACCAAAAGAAAAAACTTAAAATATCTTCTTCTAAAAAACCCAAAGAGCTAGAGCTTAGATTTTTGGCATGAAACATATGCTGGTGAGTGTTTACCAAGTTTGTTCAAATAAAAGCCCTTCGGTCAAAATTGGCCCCACCCCAGGGGGTCATTGATTTTCCCTATATGCATATAGTAAAAACTTAAAAAATCTTCTTTTAAAGAACCCAAAGAGCTAGAGCTAAGATATTTAGCATGAAACATCTTCTAATGGGTGTCTACCAAGTTTGTTGAAATAAAAGCCCTGGGGTCAAAATTGGCCCCGCCCCAGGGGGTCATTGATTTTCCCCATATGCATATAGTAAAAACTTAAAAATCTTCTTTTAAAGAACCCAAAGAGCTAGAGCTAAGATATTTAGCATGAAGCGGGTTCTAATGGATGTCTACCAAGTTTGTTCAAATAAGAGCCCTGGGGTCAAAATTGACCCGGCCTTTGGGGTCATTGATTTTCCAAATTTCCTTATATGTGTATAGGAAAACTTAAAAAATCTTCTTTGGAGAAAACCAAATAGCTAGAGTTTAGATACAGAGCATGACACATATTCTAGTGAGTGTCTACAAAGTTTGTTCAAATAATAGCCCTGGGGTCAAAATTGGCCCCACCCTGGAGGTCATTCATTTTCCATATATGTGTATAGCAAAAATTAAAAAAACTTTGAAAAAAACTCAAATAGCTAGAGTTTAGATATTAAGCACGAAGCATCTTCTAGTGAATGTCTTCAAAGTTTGTTAAAATAAAAGCCCTGGAGTCAAAATTGACCCCGCCCCGGGGGACATTGATTTTCCTTATACGAGTAAAGCAAAAACTTAATAATCTTCTTTGAAAAAAAACCGAATAGCTAGAGTTTAGATATTAAGCATGAAACATTTTCTAGTAAGTGTCTACAAAGATTGTTCAAATAAAAGCCCTGGGGTCAAAACTGGCCCTGCCCCAGGTGTGTCATTGTTTTTAACTATATGTGTAAAGAAAAAACTTTAAAAAATCTTCTTTTAAAAATCCCAACGAGCTAGACCTTAGATGTTTAGCATGAAACATCATATAATGGGTGTCTAACAAGTTTGTTCAAATAAAAGCGCTGGGGTTTAAACTGGCCCCGCTCCGGGGACCTATGTACAGGTGAGTGACTTCAGGGCCATCATGGCCCTCTGGGTTTTTTTTGTGACAATTTTATGCATTCATTAACATCAAGCAGTGATTTCCTCGGAAAAAAACATATTTATAACAAGCCTTTGTACCTTTTTGGGACAATTTTATGTATTCATATAAGTAAGCATTATTATACTCAATGTACTATCTTTGTGACAACTCCTTCGAATTGTCGAGCATCGCTGTCCTCCGACAGCTCTTGTTGCTCAATACAGTGCAGAGCGTTTTTGCAAACTACCCCCAAACGGCAACGAAGCGCGGAAACTACGCCCAAACGGCAATGAAGAAGAAAATGATGTGATAAAATGTCTTCTCACAGTTTAAAAAAAAAACGAAGCAAATCATTAGTTCTGTAAGATTAGATAACTTGAGACTTGAAAATATTTGGATGAATCACAATTTTGTTTGCATTTTTTTATTGTTTAAAACCATAAATTTGCGAACTATTTTGCAACAATATATCTATTTGCGATTTAAATCGCTGGTAGATTACGTTCAGTTTTACAATGCACTTTAATGATTTTGATTTTTTTAAAAACTATTAGATCAATAATGATATAAATATAAAGTTATCTAAAACTAAAATAATAAGGTTTTCAACAATAAGGTTGTATTTTAAGATTCATGACAAAATGAGCGTAGATATTTATGCAGTATACAGTCTTTTTTGTACAGTCAAACTTATACACTTTACAGTAGCAAAATACAAGAGAGTATTCTGTTCTTGATTTTAAACTCTTTAATTAATTCAAAGTGCAACGTACCTTAATACCTTAAACATGTTCAATTTAGGAGTGTAACCCGTTTTTGCATACAAATACACGTATAATCCTAAATGAATTCATGCAGTTAAAGAGTGCAACTCGTTTTTTGCAAACGCAAATATACGTTAAATTATCGTGGTATCAGTCTATTATCGTGCACTAGTAAACTGTATCAACTCTTTATCAACAAAAGATTAACAATCTAGAGAACAATGAATTACTTGCAGATGAACAAAACGGATATAGGACAAAACGACAAAAAAAATCGCCGCGATTTTCAAAAAAAAAAAATTCCCTAATTGTAAAGATAGGCAACTTTTGTCTTTTATTCAATAAGTCGAACACTTAATACTGGAGAGTTTGGAGTTATGATATTATGTCTTGGCGATCATCAATAGGATCTTTCAATAATAGTCAGCAGTCTATGAAAGTATATAATGTCAAGTCTTCAAAATTGTCATCGATCTTCTTATTTTCGTTATTGTTGTGTGTGTTTAACTTTTTTTCATCAACGGAAAAACACCTCGAACTGTTTTTAAATTTTGCCCTACACGAATTACTCCAAATACG